TATATATAATATAATATATAATGTGTGTATGTATATATATATATTTTTATATATACACATTTTTTTTAAAAGAAAGTCTGTGATTCTCAGATCCAAAAACAGTCACACCATAACCCTTGCTAAAAAGCCTATCTGGATTTAGCAAATACTAAGACAAAGGGCCAGGTTGCCCAAGCTTGCCTGGGAAGCAGTTGCTGGAAGCCACCCATGCCCCATTTGGGAAGCACTGCCAAAGCCAGCTGGACAATATTTTCCATAAGGCTAGAGGCTGGCTCAGCTCCATGCGATGGGGCTTCTGGCTGGCAGGGAGGCTCGATGTCTTCTTCAGTACGGAAGCTGCCCTGTGTGCCTGCTCCTGAAGCTGTAGCCACCCCACCCCTCTTGTGACATTGAACAGCAGCTGGAGGGGTGTGGACATGCTGCTATCTGTCCCAAGCTGCACTCCTCCTAGGGCCAAATTTCATAAGGGTCGTGAGCATTGACCACTGTCTCTTGGACCGACCCTCTCAGCCTAGGGAAAACTCATTTCTTCCTCTGTTTCCAGGGGCTTGGAATCCAAGGAGTCAAAGCTATGGGGAGTAAAGAGGGAAGTGTGAATCTGATGAGGCTGCAGGCTTGGGAAGGAAGAGCCAAAGAGCCAAAGAGCTGGTGCCTGAGGAGGGCCAGGCACGCCTGCAGCTGAGGGACAACATCCCTGGGTCTGGCATTGCCCACAGGAGAGGCTGCAATGGACAAGATGCACCGGGAAGCAACCTTGGACCTTAGACACTCCTCAGTCCTTCCTCAAACTGCTACTTGAGTGCAAACGAGAATTTCAGAAGTACCCTAACACTGAGAGCATAAAGCAAAGCACAGTCGCACCTCAGACAGACTCCCTAACAAGGAAAAAACTGCTTGTAGTGTTGCCAGATTTCTTGGCAGCCCTGTCTTTATCTGTGCACTTTATTGTTTGTTTGTTTGTTTATATATTTATAAACAGGGTTTTGCTATGTAGTTCAGGCTGACCTTGAACTCACGATGTAGCCCAGGCTGACCTGGAGCATGTGGTGATTCTCCTGCTTCAGCCTCGCAAGTGCTAGGATTACAGGCGTGTGCCACCAGGCTTGGCCTGTACACATCTCTTAAAACTTTATTATTTAAACCTATGTCTTTGTTTTGTTATTCAAATGTGGGGGTTTTTTTGTACCAGGGATCCAACGAACGGGTCCTTGCACTTAAATGTTTTTTTTTTTTTTTTTTTTGTGGTACTGGGGATTGAATCCAGGGCCACTGTGCTGCGCTACCCTTTCAGCCCCTTTATACTTTTTACTTTAAGATAGCATCTTACTAAATTAACAAATTGCCCAAGCTAGATTTGACCTTGTGATCCCTCTGCCTCAGTTTCCCAGAGTTCTGAGATACAGCATTTTAATTTTTATTTCATATTGAGTTTTTTAGAAGTGCTAGTGATTGAAGCCAAGGCTCAAACATGCTAAGCACACACTCTACCAATTAGCTTTACCTTCAGCTAACTCTATGATTTCTAAAAAAGTGCTTATTGTTGAGCTGGGTTTGTAGCTTAGTGGTAGAGTGCCATCCTGGCATGCATGAGGCCCTGGGTGCTATCTTCAGCACCGAAAAGAGAAAATTTATTGTTGTTATATAATTTACATACATACAACAGAACTTACCCTTTTAAAATATATAGTTTAATAACTTTGCAGACTTACAGCTATCTAACCATTTCTAGTATACCAAAAATATTCCTTATGTACTTTTTCTTTTCTTTTACTTTTTTTTTTTGGTATAGGGGATCAAACTAAGGACCTTTCACTTGTGAGGCAGGTACAGTGCCAATGAGCTAAATCCTCAACCCATCCATTGTCCTTTTATAGACCACCTTCTTCCCTGATTACCTACACCCACACAAAACCTCTGACAACCACTGATTTCTGATAATATAATTTGTTTTCTTAAAAAAGTCATATAGTCAGTCATTGTAAGACCTAAAGTCTCACTTCCACTTCACGGAGGGTGAACAGCCAAAAGGCCTCCATGATGCTGGGCCCTAACACCCAGCGAGACTCCGGGAACACGACAGAGAACCGAGAAACCCAGGAAGGAACACACCAGCCTAGATGGTAAAAGACCTTTATTAGTCTTGCCAGACGGCACTCCCGGAACCAGGTGGCTCAGAGAGGCAACTGCTTAGGGGCTGAGGTACTTTTTATAAGGTTTTACTAAACAAAGAGTCAGGGAATTCACAGAACAAGACTGCAAACACATTGCTTATCTTATGAAGGAAATGTTCTATTTGTCCCTGGGCGGGCTGTTAACCAAGGTAGCAATTAGCATATGAAGAAGCACAGTCTGGCCTATTAGCATGGAGTCCCTTTGTGAAGACTAGTGGAGAGGATTGTAAACACAGTAAGGGGGGCAGGGGGTCAGTTTCCTGCTATCCCTTAGGGGGTCTGGTTTATGACATGTCTGGCATCCTGCGTTGGTCACCCCAGACTCAGGATACCCTGTCTTGATCAAAGTCCTAAGACATTACCTTTGTTTACTCATACCAAGTTTACATACACTTCCTCTAATCTTATCTGTAGATAGGAGGGTGCAGAGTAGAATGGAAGGTACTTTGTTATATGCAGACTCTCTAGGGCCTACACAGCGGTTGGGGTCCTTTTAATCCCAGCACTCAGGAGGCTGAGGCAGGAGGATTACTGAAGAGTTTGAGGCCAGCTTGGGCTATAGTGAGCTCAAATTCAGTCTGGAGTACACAACAAGGGCCTATGTCAAAAAATAAAAAAAGCCAGGTGTGGTGGCACATTCCTATAATCCCAGCACTCAGGAGGCTGAGGCAGGAGGATCACTGTGAATTAGAGACCAGCCTGGGCTACATAGTGAGTTCCAGGTCAGTCTCAACTATGTAGTGATATCCTGTCCCAAAAAACAAAAACAAAAAAAGGTAGGGCCTGGGATTTGGCTCAGTGGTTCTACAGCTTACCTTGGAAGGGCCCAACTTCAATCCCTGGTACCTTACACTACCATTAAATTTTTTCTAGTTCCATTTTTGTCAAAGCTATTTTTTTTTTTCCAATCCTGGGGATTGAACCCAGGGCCTTTCTAGTCCTATTGTTATAACTTTTAAAATGTTGTGAATTGTAATCTTTTATACCTGGTGTCAGGAACAAGGAAAGGGGACGACACTGACACTAGAACCTCTGCATCAGGTCCTAGTCTCCTGCGAGCCACAACAGCACAAGGAATTAATTAATATACGGACAGAAAATGAGACTGAGAGGAGTGTTGGGAGCTGGCCTGAGAGCTGGCAGAAGTGCTGCCATCTAGAGCTAAGTGGAACCATTTTTAGAGATGTTTCCTTCCTGAATTTAAATTTCTACAATTGTAGTTCTTTGTCCTAGTAAACACCCGTTAATCACCCATTAAGGTTGCCTTTGTGATTATAGCTCATTAATAGTTTGTAGTTAAGCCAACTTCCTCTTTCGTTTGTAGTTTTTCTCCTTTAAAAGTCTGAAGCTTGCCTACAATAAACAGAGCCTTGATCAGACTCCTGTCTTGGCGTCCTTCTTTCTCTCCTGGCCCCATCTCTACCCGATGCTCTTTCAGGTTTGAGACACTGCTGGACAGTGCTCTGCGTGGCCGGCTCTCAACAGAGGAGAAGCTGAGCTTTGGCCTCATCTGTGCTGCCCTGGGCAGCCAAGACCCCAGACCTGGAGCTCGCCACATCTTTATACAGAACATCAGCAAAATGAAAGTAGAAATTGACTCAGAGGGTCTGCAATGAACCTAGAACAGTAAGGAACCATGCAGATGAAGATCTGGTTCCTCCCAGGACGTCTCCAGCTGGTGTAGTCCTGCCCTGGAGCATCACGGCATCACTGTGTAAGACTTAAAGCCTCACTTCCACTCCACAGAGCATGAACAGCCAAAAAGGCCTCAATGATGCTAGGTCCTAACACCCAGCGAGGCTCCGGGAGCTCAAGGGAGAAACAAGAAACCCAGGAGGGAACACACCAGGCTAGATGGTAAATAGACCTTTATTAGTCTGGCCAGACGGCACTCCCGGAGCCAGGTAGCTCAGAGAGGCAACTGCTCAGGGGCTGAGGTCCTTTTTATAAGTTTTTTCTAAACAAAAAGTCAGGGCATTCACAGAACTACCAGAGGAAAAGATTCCAAACACATTGCTTATTTTATGCAGGAAATGTTCTAGGGTCACCTTTTGTCATACCATTTGCCCCTGGGTGGGCTGTTAGGCAAGTTAGCAATTAGCATATGAAGAAGCACAGTCTGGCCTATTAGCATGGAGTCACTTTAGCTTATTCAAGTCTTACAACTGGACACTCAGGTCTCAGCTGTGACCAGAGGTGAAGGTGGAGTTATGTCTTGACAGCCATAGCTGGCCAGTAAGCAGGAAAACTAGGCCCTAATCATGATTTAATTAGGAAATGATTTTCCCCCAAATCATAGACAGTTGCTCCCGACACTCTGGGTTAGCTTTTGAAATATATGGGTTACATGTGTGTGAACAAATAAATCATGAGAATTTTTGGATCCCATTGCTAAGAAGAGCCATTTAAAAGGTAAGGCCAGGCATGGTGGTGCACGCCTGTAATCCCAGCACTCAGGAGGCTAAGGCAGGAGGATCACTGTGAGTTCAAGACCAGCCTGGGCTACATATGTAGGAGCCTGATTGAACCAGAGCGACTCTGTGTTGACCAGCAAATGACCTAGAGACTGTCGCTCCCCCCCTCCCTTATAGGATAACTAATGATTAATTGTGAATTGTTAGGTGGCTGTTTTGGAGTAGCTGGGAAACTAGGTGGAAACTGTAGTGAACACAGAGACCCAACGCAGGTCACGCCACTCCTTGCATGCCTGTAGTCTGAATGTTCTGAACTTTATGATGATCTAGGTTGTAAATGGAACAATGGATAATCACTCTGCTGATCATTAGTACTTGACAACCACTAGCTCAGATCAACTGATTCTTTGCCTTTGTCCTCTTCCTGTAAGTTTTAAATTTTAAGTTGTCCCCCTCAGCCCTATATAAAATGGCCTCTGTTTCTGAGCTAGCC